AAACACAGGGTGCTAAAAAAAAAAGGAATAGTACAAAGATGTTCAAAGTAGCAATATTTATAATGGCACACAAAAAAATTGATAGCAATCCCTGATTCTATTAGCAGAGGACTGAGTAACTAGATCATGGAACTGCCTTTAACAGGTTGGAATCCATTAGTGAGTCTTGAAAACAACGTGACTCACCATGAGCATTTGAAAAAAATAAAATAAAAATAAGTTTTTTTCATAAGAAACATTCATTTCATGTTTGTATGTGTATCTGTCATGAAGTTAAATGAATTTCTTACTTCGAGTCATAGTCTAAATTTTTAAAAATGCTGCAGTGTTGAAAAAGATATGTATAATACAAAAACTATTCAAAATAAATTGTTATAAAATAGCATGCATATATTACAAAATTATCTAACTTCATGAAAATCCTAAATAAGTAAATGCATATAAGAAATGGAAAATATACCAAACAGATAACTTATGCTTCTTGTATCTATATTTCAGAATTTTCTACAATGAATGTGTCTTTTTTAAACTTGTTTTTTTATTGAAGTGTAGTTGATAGTTAATTTATAATGTTGTGTTAATTTCTGCTGCATAGCAAAGTGACTGAGCTATACACATATATGCATTCTTTTTTATATTCTTTTCTATTATGGTTTATCCCAGGATATTGAATATAGTTCTCTGTGCTGTACAGTGGGACCTAGATGTTTATCCATTCTAAATGTAATTGTTTGCATCTACTACCCCCAGACCCCCAGTCCAACCCTCTCCTACCTGTTTCCCCTTGGCAGTTGCAAGTCTGTTATCTGTATCTGTTGAGTCTGTTTCTGCTAAATTTATTTCTTGAATAATAATGATAATAGTTTTTAATGTTTTCTAAATAATTATATATTATATGTAGCATTTTCTCAACTATGTTAAATATATGTGCATAGAAAATGACTAGAAAGAAACTTGCCAGAATGCTAGCAGTGGTGGTTTTTGTGTGGCAGGATTATGGGAATTTTTAAATGTTTTAGAAAATTTAGAAATGTTTCTAAAATGAATGTGTATTTTTTTCTTTTTTCCTTAATTTATTTTTAATTGAAGAATAATTACATTGTTGGTTTCTGCCATACATCAACATGGATCAGCCATAGGTCTACATATGTCCCCTCCCTCCTGAAACTCCCTCCCGCTATTTTTCTTTTTTTGTAAAATATTTTAGGGACTTCCCTGGTGGCCCAGGGGGCATTCCACTGCAGGTGGTAAGGGTTCCATCCCTGGTTAAGGAACTAAGAACCAAGAGGCATGGTCAAAAAAATTTTTTTTTAAAAATAAGAGAAAGAAAGAAAACATCTAGTTCTGATGGGGCCTGCTTGCTGCTTATTTTATTCCACCATCGGACCCAGGCCTGGCTGGGACAGCAGGGCAGACATCCTTGCCTCTGCCCAAGCTTGCACCCTCTTTATTTCCCCACCCTGATATGAACCTGTGGTCCTGGTGGTTTTTCTTATCTTGAAACTTGAGTTCCCTTATCTTGGGCAAACTTATTGATGAGTGGTGACACGCATAGGTCAATGCTGAGATAAAAGAATGTAAATAATGTATGGCAAAAGCCACTACAATATTGCAAAGTAATTTAGCCTCCAACTAATAAAAATAAATGGGAAAATAAATAAATAAATAAATAAATAAAAGATAGTATAAATACCCCCCCAAAAAGAATGTAAATAAGGAGACTTATACATAAATAATGGGCATTACTCTTTTGTGTGCCATCAAGTGTCTCTGGGGCTGTGTTGTGTGCTCCTGCAGAGTCTTACCAATTCCCAGCTTGTAGATGAGGAAATATGCTCAGAGAGGTCCCATGTATGAACATGTGTTCCTGTATTGGCATTCATGAAATTTGCATGTCCCAATCCATCACCAAGTTCTGTTAAATATTACCCCCTAAATAGTTCTCCAATCCGCAACTATCACCAGCAATACTTCCTCCAGTCAAGCCCTATAGCAGTGGTCTCCCCACTGACCTCCAGGACTTCTGCACCCTCTGATCCTCTCTCTATTCAAAATCTGAACATGTCAGTCTGCCCAACCACCCTTGCTTAAGATTTTGCAGTGAATCTCAATGCTCTTAGGATAGAGACAAAATTTCTTACCATGGTTCACAGGGCCCTAAGTGGATAGATCCACCCTGTCTGCCTCAAGACTCACTTCTGCCTCCCTCATCTCTTAAAAATTTTTTTATTTATTGGCTACACTTCACAGTCTGTGGAATCTTAATTCCCTGACCAGGGATCGAACCTGGGTCCACAGCAGTGAAAGCACTGAGTTTTAACCATTGGACTACCAGCAGAGCTCCCCTCCCTCCTCTCTTAGTTCCAGCTCTACTGACCTTCTCCAGTCCCTGATACTTACCCTCTTCCTCCTGCCACAGGGCCTTTGCATATGCTGTGCCTTCTGCCAATTCCCTCCTCTCCCCTGTACCTAGTGAACTCCTACTTATCATTCAGAACTCAGTCCAAATATTATCACTTGTTAGGTCATACCCTCACTAGACATTCTATATCACCCCTTACCTTTTCTTCAGAAAAGAAATATAGTTGTAGTTTTACATTTATTTGATTAGTTTATTAATGTTTATTTTTACACTAGACTGTAAGTTCCATTAAGGCTGAGACTGTGTCTTTTTTGGATCACCAGTCTCCAATATTGAGCATAATGTTTGCCTACCAGAGGAGTTCATAAAATCTATGTTAAATGAATGAGTTAATGAATGAACAAAACCATGGCCTCTTCTGTTCTGGTTCCTTTTCCTGAAAGGGCTCTTGAACCCTTCAGGAGACAGAAACGAAATGGGGAGGGCATTATGATAATGCCTATCACATTGTGTAACATGTCATCAAGGTAACAACTGAGTCTACAGGCTGTATTTTAGAGGCCTCCCTACCCCCTTCTTATTGCCATCTTCTTCCAAAGAGGATCAGGAAGGAAGCCACTGCAGAGAAATTCCAGAGCCAGCTTTTGATGGACAGAGCCTCACTGGGAAAGCAGGGAGGATAAGGCAAAGAAAGGAAGGGAAAGGATGTCTGTTGAGAAAGGACTCTGTATAGAACATCGTGCTAAATGTTTACACACATCATCTCATTTAATATTTACATATATATTTATTTGACTGCCTCGGGTCTTAGTGGCAGTACATGGAATCTTTGCCAAGTGCAGACTATCTGTCCTGGTACTCCGGCTTTAGCAGTTGAGGGCTTCAGTAGTTTCAGCGCACACTTAAATTGCTCCGCAGCATGTGGGGTCTATAGTTCCCCGACAGGGATTGAACTCATGTCTCCTGAATTACAAGGTGAATTCTTAACCACTGGACCACCAGGCAAGTTCCCAGCATCTCATTTAATCTTCTCCAAACTCCATTTTGCAGATGAGAAAGCAGACTCAGGTTGTGAAACTGGAGGGTTGTTAGACCAAAGTGGGGGAAAGCTGAGTTTGAACTGGGATCTGTCAGCCTTCCTCTGAAGCCTGGGTGTTTCTAGGCTACCATCCTGGCTTCCAACCCTCAAACACCTCCCCAACTGGGTTAACTTAGGGCCTAAAATATCACCATTGAAGACTCATCAATCGGTTTTTGTCTAAAACTCTCTTGTAGGAGTCACGTATGACAGTTGAAATTGATAAGTTAGAAACAGAAATGCAGCATCACAAAGGCAACCACTCTAAGACCTAAAAAGAAATTCATGAAAAAGAAATACATAAATAAAAATAGGAATGTAGGAAATAAAGGGGATGAGGGAGTATGAGTGAGGGAGCTAATTTCTTATCATTCATATTAGGAGACAAGAGATACTGTCTAAAATGGGCAAATTAGAACTTCCCTGGCAGTCTAGTGGTTAAGACTCTGGTCAGAAAACCAAGATCCCACATGCCACGTGGCACGGTGAAGAAGATAAAAAATAAAATAAACTGGACACACTTGTGTTATTACACAAAGAGATAATGGTGATCACAGGAGAACTAAGAACAGAAACTGCCTCTAGGGAGTGGAGCTGGGGAGAACAGAGTAACTTTCATTTTTTATTTGTCCTTCTTAGCTCTTCATTAAATATGTGTGTGTATATATATATATTGTGTGTATATATATATATATATATATTCTTCTGTTGTGTAACTTTTCTAAAATTTTTGGAAATTTTTGTTACAAAAGACTGAAGAGACAAAAACACCCTTCCTTTAGAATGCAAGTCTGTCTAGAAGTAATAGTCCTTGACACCTGGGTAAGTTAGGTCTGCAGGACTTCAGTCAGGGGGCCTCAGTCAGGGGAGGGTCATGTGGTGATCAACATGGCTTCCTAAGCAGTTGCCTCTGGGGAATGGGCTTGGGAGACAAGTTCACCTTTGCAAACACACAGGGCCAGGGAAGTCCTGTTCCCTCACAGTCCTAAAGGCAGCTCACACTCAGACACCAGAGGGTGCTGCCCCTATGAGGGCCAGAGATCACCACCCCTCTAATTATCCCTGATGCGACTCTGCTCTGGGCAGTACCACGCTCTGAGCAGGAGCACTTGCCAGCCAGGGACCCCCCCTCCTGCAGGATCCCTATGAGCGTAGCTTCTGAAGGCCAATGGATCTAGTCCCAGGAAAGCGGCTGCTGAGGTCTCTCTGGTGAGTGTGATTCAGGTTAGAGCCCCGCACCCCTCAGGACCCAAGGGCCTCTTCCACCTCCGAGGCATGGCACCCTCTTGACCTTTGTTCCTGTGCAGTTTATATCCCTGTTTTGCAGCAGCTGCAGAAAGGGAGGCCAGGGCACAGCTCTGGAGTGCCACTTACTGGCAGCCTGGAGCCAGGAGCCTGGCATTCCCAGCACCAGACAAAGGCCAGTTGATCTTTGACCCCCGCCCCCCCAGAAGCCTTGGCCCTGACTCCGCCCGCCTTTCTTTCTTCCCTGCTGGCCTCTCCCTCTGCCCTCGCTCCTCATTCCCTGGCTTTCCTGCTCCGACTGGCAATTTTTCCCAGCTCTGCCCAAACCAGTCCTTCCATGCTGTCTTCAAGCCCTACTTCCTGCACATCTCCCAACCCGGACAAGGAGAATCCAAGTAAGAAGGTCCAGTGGGCTTCTGGGAGGAGGAGGAGGACATCATCCACGGACTCCGAGTCAAAGTCCCAGTCCGACCCCTTCCGACCCCGGTCCCGGAAACCCAGCCGGCTGACGGTGAAGTATGACCGGGGGCAGCTCCAGCGCTGGGTGGAGATGGAGCAGTGGGTGGACACCCAGGTTCAGGAGCTCTTCCAGGTGGGTAGGACCTGGCGGGCCTGGGGACTGGAGGGCACAAGAGAAGTGCTCTATGGAGAGGAAGCTTTTCCCACAGGTGAGGCATGGCTTTGCAGTCCTGAAACCGGCCTCCCATTGGTCTGGGCTCTGCCTCCCACTCTATATAATCTGGAGCAGGTCTTTTAACATCTCTGAGACTCAGTTTTCTATCTATAAAATGGGGCTATCAATGCCTGTTGTACCCCTTTTGTGGAACTTTTTGAGGCTCAGATGAGATGGTAGAGGAACTAGTTTTATTTTAGGTCTGTATTTACTTTCATCCTCAACACACATACCTGTCTAGTGCAACATTGTTCACTCCTGTAGCTCTCAGCCATGTGTAGCTATTTAACTTTAAACTGATGAAAATTAAATAAAATTAAAAGTTCAGTCCTTCAGTCACACTAGCTACATTTCAAGTGTCCCATACCTCCAGGTGACTAGTGTCTACCGAGTTGCCAGCACAGATACAAAACCTTTCCATCATCTCAGAACGGATAGTGCTGGAGGAGAATGTCAGAGTGACCAATAGTGACCCCTGATATCAGCGCCTGACCTAGCCTTGGCCCTGGCTCTGACTGATTCCCCTCAACCACATCCTGGGAGAGCAGCATTTTATTTTTTATCTAGATACCTCCAAATAGAGATCCTAGTGTAGTAACAAAGGTTGCTTCAACAACAAGAATAACATTTTGAGCACTTAACCGTACCCTAAGCACAGTGTCCAGCCCTCCCGACAAGTCCATTAGGTAAATTCTGTTTTGTTGTTTTTTAGTCACAAAGTCCTCTCTGACTCTTTTTGGAGCCTGCCAGGCTCCTCTGTCCATGAGATTTCCCAGGCAAGAATACTGGGGACGGTTGCCATTTCCTCTTCCAAGGCATCTTCCCAACCAGGGATCCAACCCAAATCTCCTGCTTGGCAGGCATATTCTTTACCACTGGGCCACCTGGGAAGCCCAGATACTGTTTTACTGTGGAGGAAATGGAGGCTTAGAAATGTTGAATAACTAGCCCAGGGTCACACCACTAGGGAGCCCTGGGACCAGGAGCTGAGCTGGGGCTCTGCCTGTAGCACCTGAATGTTTATTCAAGTAGCTTTGTGGTTCCCCAAAGTTCTTCAGAAATAATCCAATGCCCCTGTTGCACTTCAACTGAATTTCAGTCTACTAGGGTGGGGCCCAGACACTGGTCTTTTTCAAGCTCCACTGCTGATCCTAGTGTGAGGCTAGCAAGAACCTCTGCACCAAGCCGGAGACCAGAGTCCTCCTTGTCCACACGCCATGGTCCTTGTTTCTCTCCTTCCTTACTCAGGTCCTGTCTTTTTCTTGGGGGACGGCAAGGGTTTGTGACTCTCCCAGGTAAGAGCCGTGTCAGTGGTCCTGCAGTGAGGGTGGGGAAGAGTGATACATGTGGCCCAGGCTGTCTTGTCAGGCTCACTGTGTCACATATCAGTTTGGTCCAGGTGTTGACCGTGTCCCTGGCCGCACTTGTGGAGGGGAGGAGATGGCCTAGAGCTGGGAGCAGGAGAGGCAAACTTTCTTGGCCTGTGACTACTCTGACTTTGCAGGACATTGCCCTGCCCTTCATTCCTGCCTGCACCCTCCCTCTCTGGACCTGTTTCAATTTCAGATTGTTATACCTTTGGATAAAAAGTCTCATATTTCAGACACCTCAGGGCAAATCCTTCCAGGCATTAGAGAGAGACAATAGCCAAAGAATCTTGTTTTGCAAGATCAAGGCAGGGGAAAAGCTGTAGAATTATGAGCTCATAGGGAAGACCGCTCCCAGGAAATGACTGGAATAAAATACCTGACCTTCTGTTGCCATGGCAGTTGTCCAAAGGTGTCAGGTGGGAGTTCCTGTCCTAATCTCTCCTCTTTTCAGCAGGAACCAGGCAAGTGGGTGGGAAGCCCTAGGTAGAGGCTGGTCACCTTGGGCAGAGATTGAGGCAACTAAGTCTTCAGCTTACCCTGCTTCAGTTCTGTCTTCATAGAGTCCCTCTCTACCAGCTGCCCCCCTACCCCCGGCCACATGCCCACCTTGGATAGCACTGCTGGGATTGGTTCCGGGAGTAGGTTGCATCACTTGTTTTTAGTTTAGTTTAATGGGACCCAACCTTCCTTTGTTGGAGGGCCCCACCTCTTCTCACTGGGTGTGCAGCCTGTTTTAGGGTCTTGAGAAGAGCCAAGTCTGGGTTCAACAAGGCAAATGACTTGGGGCCCTGGAGCTCCTGTTGTCCAGAAATGGTTGTGTAGATTCGGCTTCTAAGCAGGGACTTAAACACGCGTGAGCTTCTTCTGTTTTAAGGAGACTCCTGTTTAACTTTGGTTACCATTCCCTACTTCCTGTCTCCTTTACAAGGCTCCTTAATGGATTTGCACGCAGAGCCTGTACTAACTTTCCCCCTTCCTTTCCTATCACTATTCAAACCACTGTAATCTAAAAACTGCTGCAACCTGATTTCTGTTCCCACCACTCTATTGAGACCGCTTGGCAAAGTCAAGTATCACTTCCTGGGGGGCTAAATCTAGTGTACATGTCAGCAGGGGACACTGTTGACCACCCCAGAGTTTTGAAACATTTCTCTAGTTTCCATGACACCATGCATTTTGAAGCAGCCCTTTTGATGTGATGACATTTAAAAAAACAATCTATTCAACTTACAACTGTAAAAATGTAAGGTCTCTCTTGAATTCCTGGGTGATCAGGGATGACCATCCACTCTGGCTGAGTGGAACTTGATTTGTCTGAGTGGAACTTGATTTGTCTATCAGTCCTCTGTGAGGTCAGGGAACTGTTCATTTCTGTGCCTGCGGTGTCTCATAGTATCTGCCTCGTGAAGTTTTACCTTCTGAATGTGTACCTTATGTTCAGCAAAAGCCCAGGAGAGCCCTTATGCAGGTTTTTGGAGGTCTCTTTCTTCATAGCTCCCTCCTCTCTAGAACTTGTCAGTTTACAGCCACCTCAACCCCAAACTCTGATCTCTGTCATATCAATTTAGTATGACCACTGTGCTCTGCTTGGGATCTGCCTCTCTGCTCTGAGGTCTGGGAAACTGCCTTCAGGATGAAACCCAGGACAATTGTAGAGTTTATCTCTTTCATTTCCCTTCTTTCCCAGGTAGTGCTGAGTTACTCTGAGAACACTGTTCATCTATTTTTGTCTAGTTTTCTAATTATTTTCTGACTAGTTACTTATGTTGAGAGAATAAATCTGGTCCCTGTTACCCCATCATCAGAAGTATAAACATCTTGTTAACTCCTACTCAGCCTTCAGGTCTCAGATTAGAGGTCACTTCTTCCTGGAAGCCTTCCTAAACCCCGGTTTTGGCTAGGTTCCCCTTTCCTGTGCTCCTATAATATCTCATCAGAGTGCTTATCACCCTGTATTATAACTACCCTTTTGCTTGTCTGTATCCCTCTGGAGAAGATAAGCTTCTCAAGAGTAAGACCATATCTGCCCGTCTTGCTGTTATGGCCCAGGACTCATCACAATGTTTGGTGCACAACATGCTCTCAATAAGGATGCATTTAATGAATGAACGCTAAATCAGATGAGCTAGAAACCAAGGAAGCAAAGGAGAAAGTCTAGAGCTTAGGGTGAAAGAACTAACTTAGAATCCTAGCACTAATTTACTTTTAAAAGGGTATGCAAAGACCAAAACTCGTTAGTGATTAACCATTGGCAGTGGAAGGAACGAGAAGGTAATTGTGGCATTTTTTTCCTTCTTTCTTTTCTAAATCAACTTTTTGAAGCATAATTGGCAGACAATAAAATTTGCCTATTTTTAAAGTAGGGGGTAACCACTACCTCATCAAGATATGGAACATTTCCACCACCCAAAAAGTTCCCCCCAATAGCACTTACTTTTAGACAATTTATACAACTAAATTACTTAATGCATCTGTTTTTATTATGTCTCCTCAACTGCCCCTAAGATAGGTTTTGAGGGCAGGAACTTTGTTTTGTTTACCGAAATTCCCAAGGTCAGAGTGCCAGGTTAATAGTAGCCACTGGACACATTTGTTGAATGAATAGATTCCAGAGAATTAAATACTCAGATAGAAAAGGTGAAATTATCAAATATCTAGAAAAATGTAAGGTGAATATCAAATATTTACCCAAATCAGTATAGGAAGATCCTCCTAGGCATAGAAAAAAATTTTTTAAAAAGGAAGCAAAACTCAAGCTGGAGAAAAAAACATTATTTCCAATTATATAATACACCTATTTCTCCAATGCCTCCCCCAAATAATATATCCATGACACATGGAATGCTAGGGATAATCTGAATCAAAACAAACAAATAAGCTTCTTAAATCAGTTTTAAAAAACCCTCAACAACCCATAGAAAAATGGAGAAGACAGCAGTTCTTGCAGTGTGTTCTGGTGACACCAGAACCTTTTCAGCAGGTCTACAACTATTTTCATAAATAATGCAAGAAGTTGTTTGTCTTTTCAACTATATTGATATACGCACTGATGATGCAGAAGCAGTGGTGGACCTTGCCATGAATCAAGAAAATTGCACCAACCTGTTTTAGAAGTCATGATCTTCCCCATCAGACAACTTTCACTTAAGAAAGTCCCTGATGAAGCTCTACAAAACCTTGAGTTTACACCTTAAATTTTTAAAAAACATTTTTATTAAGGTGTAATCAACATTCATTTCAGGTGTACAATGTAATGATTTTATATTTGTGTAGATTGCAAAATGATTACCATAATAAGTCTAGTTAACAGCTGTCTTCATACATAGTTTCAATTTTTTAAAAAAATAATTTTATTTATTTATGACTATGCTGGGTCTTCACTGCCATGCGCACCTCCCTCTAGTTGTGGTGCGAGGGTTTCTCATTGTGGTGGCTTCTCAGTGCAGAGAACAAGCTCTAGGGCATCTGGGCTTCAGTAGTTGCAGTGTGCAGGCTCAGTAGTTGTGGTTCCCAGGCTCTAGAGTTGTGGGGCAATAGTTGTGGTGCAATAGTTGAGGTGCACGGGCTTAATTGCTCTGACGCCTGTAGGATCTTCCTGGACTAGTAATGGAACCCTTGCCTCCTGAATAGGCAGTTGGATTCTTTTTTTTTTGACTGTGTTGGGTTTTGGTTGCAGCACATGGGCTTCTCTCTAGTTGTGGTACCTGTGACATGTGGGATCTTAGTCCCCTTAGAGACCAAACCTGAACCCATGTCCTCTGCTTCTGAAGGTAGGAAGGAAGATTCTTAACCACTGAACCACCAGGAGAGTCCCTGGCAGGGAGATTCTTTACCATTGAGCCACCAAATTTTTTTTCTTGACAGGAGGACTTTTTTTTTCTTTTTTCAAACCCATGCTTCCTGCAGTGGAAGATTCTTAACCACCAGACCACCAGGAAAGTCCCAAGGAGGACTTTTAAGATTTATTATTTTAGCAACTTTCAAATAGGCAGTACAAAATTATTAATTCTAGTCACCATGCTGTACATTAGATCCCCATGATTTATTTATTACTGGAAGTTTGTACCTATTGATTTGCTTCACCCATTTTGCCTTTCCCCATCCCCACCTCAGCAACCACCAATCTGTTCTTTTATTGATGTTTTTTTTTAATGCCACATATAAGTGAAATCATACAGTGTTTGTTTTTCTTTGATTTATTTCACTCAACGTAATATTGTCAATGTAACTCATGTTGTTGCACATGGCAGGATTTCTTTCTTTTTTATGGCTGAATAGTTTTCCAGTGCATATATATACACCACAGTTTCTTTATCTGTTCACCCACTGATGGACACCTAGGTGGTTTCCATATCTTGGCTATTGCAAATTAACACTGTAGTGAACATGGGGGTTCATATACATTTTTGAATTATTGCTTTCATTTTCTTTGGATTAATATCCAGAAATGGAATTGCTGGGTTATACGGTAGTTCTATTTTTCAGTTTTTGAGGGACCTCCATACCATTTTCCATAGTGCTTGCACCAATTTACATTTCTACCAACAGGGCACAGAGGTTCCCTTTTCTCACATCCTCACCAACACTTGTTATTTATTTTTTTGCTATTTTTATTTTAAAAATATATGCACATGGTAAATTTTTTTAAAAATAGTAAAATGGTACACAAAGATGTAAAATGAAAAATATGTCTTTACTAACTTATAGACACACTTGTTATTGTCCTTTTGATAATAGCTATTCTAACAGGTGTGAGGTGATATCTCACTGTGGTTTTGATTTTCATTTCCCTAATGATGAGTAATTTTGAATATCTTTTCATTTACCTGTTGGCAATCTATATGTCTTCCTTGAAAAAACGTCTATTCAGATACTCTGTCCATTTTTAAAAATTAGATTTTTTTGGTATTGAATTGTCTGAGTTCTTTATATATCTTAGATATTAACCCCTTATGATTTGCAAATACTTCATCCTATTCAGTAGGTTGCCTTTTCATTTTGTTGATGGTTTCTTTTGCCGTGCAGCTTTTCTTTTAATGACTTTATTTTTAATTTTAATGACTTTATTGTTTTAGGTTCACAGCAAAATTAAGCAGAAGGTACTGGGAATTTCCATATTCTCCCTGTCCCCACACATGCATAGCTATCCCACTATCAACATCCCCCCACTAGAGTACTAGTGCTGGTGAATTTATATTGATACATCATAACTACCCAAAATTCAGAGTTTATATTGGGATTCACTCTTGGTGTTATACATTCTAAGGGTTTTCACAAATGTATGACATGTGTCTACCCTCCTGGTATCACATAGAGTAGTTTCGCTGCCCTAAGAATCCTGTGTCCCACCCATTCACCACTCTTCCACTGTAACCTCTGGCAACCACTGGTCTTTTCATTGTCTCTGTAATTTTCCAGAATGTCATCTGGTTGGAATTGTACAGTATACAGACTTTTCAGGTTGGTTTCTTTTGCTTAGTAACATGCATTTAAGCTTCCCCATGTCTTTTTATGGTTTTATAGTTCATTTTGTTTTAGCACTGAATAATATTCCATTGTCTGGGTGCACCACCATTTATTCACTCATTTACCTACTGAAGGACATCTTGGTTGCATCCAAGTTTTGGCAGTTATGAATAAAACTGCTATAAACACTCATGTGCAGGTTTCCATGCAGATATATTTTCAATTCATTTGGATAAATAGCAAGGAACACAAGTGCTGTTTTGTGTGATAGGAGTATGTTTTGTGTTGTTAGAAAGTACCGAACTGTCTTCCAAAGTGGCTATGCCATTTTGCATTCCCACCAGCAATGAACAGGTATTCTTATCACTCCACAGCCTCATCAGCATTTGGTATTTTAGGTTTGTTTTTGTTTGCCATTTTAATAGGTATATAATGGTAACTCACTGTTATTTCAATTTGCAATTCCCTAATAACATATTATGTTAGCATCATATGCTATTTGCTATCTTCATTATCTTCTTTGGTGAGGCAGATATACAAAATTTCCCTGTTTTTAAATTGGATTATTTGTTTCTTATTGTTGGTTTTGAGAGTTCTTTGTATATTTTAGATATTCTTTATCAGATATATCTTTTACCAATATGTTCTCCCCGTCAATGGTTTGGTTTCTTACTCTCTTTACCTTCTTTCATTTTTAATTTTATAAACTATGTATTGCTTAAATTTTTGCAATGACTATAATAACTTTCAAAGTTAGCTTTATTGAGATGATTCACATACCATACAATTCCCACTTAAAGTGTAAAATCCAAATAGTTTTATCTTCCTAGGTTGTACAACCATCAGTATGGTCTAATTTTGGAACATTTTACTATCCATAAAAGAAACCCTGTACCAGTTAGCAGTCACACCCCATTCCATCCCACCACCACTCCCAGCCTTAGGCAACCACCCATCTACTTTCTGTCTCTATAGATTGACCTATTCTGGATGTTTCATACAAATCAAATCATATAATATGAAGCCTTTGTAACTGGCTTCTTTCACTAACATGTTTTCAAAGTTAATCCCTGTTGTAGCATGACACAGCCCTTTATTTCTTCTTATTGCTGAAAAATACTGTATGGCTACATAATATTTTATTTATCCATTTGGATGGTCATTTGAATACGAATAATGCTATGAACTGCATTCATATGTGATTTTTACATGAATATATATGTTCACTTCTCTTGGGAATAGACCTAGGAGTGGAATTGTTGGGCCAAATGATAACTCTATATTTAACATATTAAGGAGCTGCCAAATTGTTTTCCAAAGCAGCTGCACCATTTTATATCCCTACTAACAATGTTTATAACTCTTGAAATTAAAGATACTCTTTTAAAAGAACCCTAGACTTTCAGGTAGAACATAGTAGGTGTTTGGTAACTGTTGAATGGAAGGATGAATGGGTGGTTTGAGTAAGGAGAGGAACTGAACATAGAAAATAGTGGGAGATGGGTGAATCCGACAGTGCCTTTCACTCCAGCACCAGCTGGCTGGGCTCCTCTGAGCCCCATGTGATTCCCAAACAGGATCAACCAACTTCTTCAGAGCCTGAGATCGACCTGGAGGCTCTCATGGAACTATCCACAGAGGAGCAGAAGACTCAGTTGGAGGTAGAATGGGTGACGGGCCCCAGACCCAGGGTTGGGGGATGGAAGCTGGGCTCAGACCAAGGGGAACCCAAGAACCCAGATTTTGCTTCCCCATCCAGTGTGGGGAGAACCAATTCAGAGGGGAAAATTCCTGGGAGACTGGGGACTTGTGAAAAAGTGGTGTGGCTCAGAGACCCACTCTTTGCTTTCTTCCACCAGGCTATTCTCCAAAACTGCCCCCGCCCCACAGAGGTAAGGGATGCTCTGCTGGTCTGGGGGTAAGAGGAGGCAGAGTGGGCCGGCAGCTAGTGAAGAGGAAGGTTTGGTCCTGGGTCCTTCTCCCCTTCCCTGACTCTGAGGCCATGGGGTCAGGTGGAGACTAGGGAGAGCACTGTGGTGGGTGTGACCCCATAACTTGATCTCATCCCTGCTTCTGCTTCTCTGTTTCTTTCTCAGCCTTTTATCTCTGAGCTGCTCAGTCAACTCAAGAAACTTCAGAGACTCAGTCGACCTCAGAAATAAGCCTTGTGAGACTAGCTTCATCAGCCTCAGCACTGCCCAGTCTGCCCTGAACCCCTGGATCCTCGGCTGGGTGGGAAACAGCTCCTTGGGACCCAGACGACAAACATGGAGAATGAGGAGGGACATTTGAACACCACTGTCTATGTGCAGTCACAGCTGGCTCCTGTCAGCTGCACTGTCTGGGAGCCAGTCATGATGATGCCCAGTGCTTTCCCATTAGCCAAGTGGATAAAACCTTCAGGAGCACCAGCTTCATGGAGTGTGGAGCATATCTGTGCTGATGGACGGGGGAGGGAGAGGGTGAAGTCTTATACCAGAGGGCCAGCATCCAAGTCACTAGGCTCACCCATATATCTCACCCGTCTACATGTCCATCCACCCATCCACACATGCCTTGAGAATTCAAAGATAGAGGTCACAGTTCTGTGTCAGAGAAATCACCGTCATGCAAGGTCCCAGAGGCCAAGCAGAAGGCACCTGGCTAAGACACACAGCATCCTGGTACCACCAACAGGAGCCTAAGTAGCAAAGACCAATAGAAGAGTTAACTGGAAAAACTTAATTGGGTCTGGGGGCATCAGAAGCTAAACCTTCCTCCCCAACTAACTGATTCATCAGGCCTCAGGCTGAGGACTCTTTCTTGAGCCAGCTCCAAGCCAGAGGCCAAAAGAGCAAAAACAGGGACTAAGCAGAGGGGTGTAAAGGGTATAGGCTGAGAGCCCAGTAATCAGGTGAGGAGGGAGCCACTGAAAACTGACACTGGGTCTGAATGGCAGGCAGGTGGGGATAGGAGCCCTGGAGGGGGCATCCTTTGGGAATAAGGCCAGAAGCAGGGTATGCATTCACTGTGTGTGTAGGCAGTGTCTGAGTACTAGAAAGGTTGTGTAATCCAAGATGGTGGGGCCTGGGGGCATGGCCACTGCATGTGAGGCCACCAGGAGGGGTGGGACTGTTCCTGCCTGGAGAAACTTTTTCCTTCTTCTTCACTTCACAGGACTCTGCTCCTGTACCTCTCTGAGGGCCCACGCTCAGGATCCATAGGGTTCTATAGATAAAAGATGCTGGTCCAATGAATCACACACTTTATTAAATCCTTCAAGTGCCAGCGGAGGGCCCTGGGCTCTTGAGCAAGTTTCAAGGCTTCTCCTTAGATTCAGACTGGTCTTGCCCCGTCACTCACTTCCAATCCAGACTCCAATGCTGGAAGGCTCCTGACCTCTGCCTTCCCTCTGGCTCCTCCAGTCATTGTCTCCAATGGAGACTCCTTCCTCCTTCCAGGAATGGAGGCTTAGGAAAGGGCACATTCATAAGCAGTCCAGCCTGACATCCTCCCATCAGATGCCCCGGAGGGCACCCCAGCCGTGTGCTTGCCTGTAGGATGACCTTCCCGGGAGGACCAGGGCTCCCTCAGTGTCCTCGGCCTTTATGCAGGGGCTGGTAGGCAGATGTCTGGTGCTCTGTAAGCTCAAAGGCATCATGGCCTTCCCTGTGGAGCATCGATATAGGTCAGAGATCACAGGCGGCCCTGGAACTCTCCCAGCCCCAAAGAACATTCCACCTGCACCCACCGGAAGCAGCGGATGCAGTAGAGGTCTCCGTCGCAGCCAGCACAGCGAAGGGTGGCATCCTCATTGCAGATGCAGCACCAGGGGAGCTCATCTTCCTCTTCCTCGGGCCGGGCAGCCAGGGCCTGGGCCTTTAAGGACCAGGGAGGGATGGGGGACATCAGGTACTTGACGGAGGTGGGAGAGAGGCTATGATGGCAGCCTGGGGGGCTGTGTCTGTGGTTCTTCTCACCTTAGGCTCTGCCCTGCAGGACTGGTCTTGGGGTTGGGGAGTTGGCTCCACAGGGATGTTAAAACCACTTGCCTCATCCAGGGCAGCTTCTTCGGTGAGCTGTGGACAGAGTGAAGAGGTACAGCTCCTAGCTCCAGGCACCACCACCCTACCGCCAACCCAATGCACAGTATTTCTGTGCTCTGTGGCCTAAGCACTCAACCCATCTTCCTTGATCTGTTGTCTGTGGCTGCTGATGTCCCATCTCAAGGGCCCGGGGGGCAGGTGTGGGTCACGGGGGCAGAGGGACCCCAGCTAGAACAGGAGCTGCAGAATGACTGGCCAGCGAGCCCCAGAGTGGGGGTGGGCAGAGTGAATGGGGCCAGGGGGCATGGTGGGGCAGCATAGCAGGGACCGGACAAGGGGTGGTCAGGTGGGTCAGGCAGGGCCAACCTGCTGCAGGACTCTCTGGATGGCCGTCTCTTCCTCCTCTTCATCATCGCTGTCTGGAAGGTGGTAGTCCTGGAGGGTCACTTGAAGATGGAGGGCGGGGAGCAGGGGAAGAGGACTGAGGTGGAGAGCTCACCGGAGCGGCTGGACTGCTGCCCCCAGGAGTGCTGTGCTTCCCAGCGGCACTCGTTCCAGAGTTAAGCTGCCTCTGTAGCCACTCTGATCAGAGTGGCTCTGACCCCCCTCTGGTCTGACCCCCACTATGCCCCCTCTGCTGGGCTGGACAGCATGAACAGAAGGCTCTGCACTTGAAGGGACCCAGGGCCCCTGCCCCCTGAGGGCTGCCCCTTGTTCTTCATCCACTGTTTTGCCCTACCATTTGTCTCATGGTTCTAGGCAGTGCTCGATAGACTCAGCCTGGCAGAGAGTACAGCCACTGTGCAGAGCTTGGCCTGGGGATGGGAGTTGGGGGGCCTGCCCAAGGGACACGAGTGAGGGGCTGATTTACCAGCCTTTACCTTTATCAGGGTCCCGTCCCTGCAGCACAGCCAGGCGCTTGGCGAGGGCCAGGATGCGCTCCTGCCGTGTGTTCTCCTGCCGAAGCTCGACCGCTGCCTCAGCCAGCAACCTGCTCTTTTCCTCCTCCAGGGACCAGGTGGCTTGCCCCCTGGAACTGGTGCTCTGGGCCCCTGGGCCCCCCCGGTTGAGGTCGTTCTGGATAGAGGTGGCTAGATAGAGTGATGCATTCAGGGAGGGAGACATTTCGGGATCTCTCATCAGAAACCACTGAGCCCATGTCTTAACTTTAAACAAAACCCCACAAATTATCAGCTTTTTGCTCCACAATAGTTCCTGTCACTTATATTACAAATAAACTTAGTTATTTAATTCATTTTCCCAAATATAAAAAACTAGTAATCTTAGACATTTTTTTCAATTAAATTCATCCCCACCCACCTGATACTTTAACATGTTGCGCTTAGGGTGGGTGCCCCATGGTATGAGAATCACTCCCTGAAAGGAGCAGAAGATGGGCAGGCCAGGGTCCAGCCAGGCTCTCTGCCTCACAGGCTGGAATCAGCATTTCTAGGGAGCACCACAGGGAGGACATGAGGGAAGCTGAGGTCTTGAATGTCACTAGGGGAGAAGAATTTTACCTCAGTGGGTGTGGCTCTGACATGGTCCCCTTTAGCTCAGAGTTTTAGTACAAGACATTTGAAGTTAGACAGCTTTGGGCTGAAGTCCCAGCTTCACTACTTAATAGCTGTGTGACCTTGGTCAAGTTCCTTAAGCTCACCAGGCCTTAATTTCCTCATTTATAAAATACAGATAATAATCATAGGATTACTAAGGATATTCAATGAGACTGTATCTCTAAAGCAGAGTTTCTTTTTTTTTTGGCTGCACAACATGGCATGCAGGATCTTAGTTCCCCAGTTAGGCATCATGCCCCCATCAGTGGAAGTGCAGAGTCCTAACCGCTGGACTACCCGGGAATTACCCTAAAGCAGGGTTTCTTTTTTTTTTTTTCTTTCTTCAGGTTTTTAAACTTTTTATTTTGTATTGGGATATGCATGCATTTCTGATAGTTTCAGGTAAACAGCAAATGGATGCAGCCATACATATACATGTGTCCATTCTACCCCAAAACTCCCCTCCCAGCCAGGCTGCCATATAACATTGAGCAGAGTTCCATGTTAAAGCAAGGTTTCTTAATCTTGGTTCTACTGACATATTGGACAGGATATAGGCATACCTTGTTTTATTGTGCTTCACAGATAATTGCTTTTTCTTTTTCTTTTTTTACAAATTGAAAGTTTGTGGCAACTCTATGTTGTCAGATGGTGGTTAACCATTTTTAGCAATAAAATATTTTAAAATTAGGTATGTACATTTTTTAAAACATAAAGCTATTGTACACTTAATAGACTATAGTATAGTATACATAATTTTTATATGCACCAGGAAACCAAAAAATTCATGTGCCTCACTTTATTTCAGTGAACTTGAACTGAACCCATAATGTCTCTGAGGTGTGCCTGTAATTCTTTGTAGTGGGGGCTGTCCTGTGTATTGTATGATGTTCAGCAGCATCCTTAGCTGCTGCTCACTAGATACCAGTGGTACCCTCTGAGTTGCAACACCCAAAATGTCTCCAGACATTGCCAATTGGGCCCTGGAGGGAAAATCATCACCATAGTTGAGAACCACTGCTTTGAAGATTTTGAAGAGCTCTGTCCAAAAGAATTTTTTATGATGATGGGAACATTCCATGTCACGTCATGGTCTGTATTTGTGCTGTCCAAGATCATAGCCATGAGTCACTTGTGACTATTGAGCATTTGAAATGTGGCTGGTACCACTGAGGAACTCAATCTTAACTTTAATTTTCAGTAAATAGCCTCTTCTTTCTTATCATCATCATCACAGAGAACATTCACTTACTATGAGCCAGGCAGGATTCTAAGCACTCCTGGATAGCCCATTTACTCCTCATGACTTCTCCATGAGGTAGGTCTTACCACACATCTTTCCACTTTACAGATGAGGAAAGTGAGACTTTGGTCAAGTAACACGCTGAGGGTCACACAGCTACTAAGTGGTAGAACAGGGAATCACTGTCTGAGCTTAATCCACTAGGTTTACACTGGCTCCCACTGGAGTAAACATTCAATAAATGGCAATCCTTATAATGTTGATATTCTCTAATTTATATTCACCTCCCAGAGTGTCAGCATCAGAGCCTCTCCCACCTGGGGAAAGAGTAGGGGGTGGGTCCCTGGGGGAGCCAGGTGGAGGATATACCTGGGCCTTCTCGTTCCCAGCTCTCATCAATAGCCACCTCCGCTGTTAGCTGTGTCAGCAGATCCTCCGCCTGCTGCACCTGGGTCCTGGGGTCCGGTGGTTGATGTGCCTGCTCAGAGGAGGGAACCTCAGTGGGGAGCAGGGTAGGGGGGAAGCCGCATCATAAGGCTCAGAGCACTTCAGGTCAGGGCTGAGTGCTGAGGAGTTCCCTCAGGGAACTCCTGGAAACTCAGGGAAAGGGGACTAACCAAGAGCGCACGTAATCAAGTAGGTCTGGCAGTCCCTGACAGAACCCAGGGGCCACTCTTTGCTGCCCCATCCAATCCTGCTGCTTGTCCCTGGTTCCTTGGCCTGGCAGCAGGCCTCAGGAGCAGGAGGCACTCCTGCGAAGTATCTAAGCATACATGTATCTGGGCTTCTGCTGAGTCCTCGCCCCAGGACCTCCACCCCTCCAAAGTCACAGCACTCACCAGCTGGGAGCCCTGAGAAGAAGGAACTCTGCCTTGTAGCACAGCAAGCCGCGCCTCCATCTCCTGGGCGGAAGGGACGGGACCCTGGGGTGCACCCCTGAGTGCGGCTAGCCTGGCTTCTATCTCCGCCTGTGAGGGCACTGACTCTGCAATTGGCACAAAGAAGCCTTGTAAGGTCCAGAGGGATCCCCCTCCCAGGAGCCCTGGATGGTGTCCTTTCTGGGCCTGCTCACTGGGTCTGTTCTCCTGGCGGAGCCGTGCTAGGCGCTCAGCAATGACTTGATCTTGCTGGGTCAGTCCACGGCTCTGGGGAGTGCTGGGCTTCTGCTTGGCTTCCAACGCTGCCACACGCCTGGCAGGATATGAGACAGAGGCTCTAGATGGGTGCAGAAGGGAGGGGTGAAGGCACCCTCTCACTGTTCCCATTCAAATCATTTCTAGGCAGCTAGGGAGGCCTCCAATGGACAATCTTCTGGGGCCATCACTCATGTCACCCTGCACTCCAACCCAGCCAACTGGCAGAAGGGTTCAGCTGAGAGGGTGAGGTCTACCAAGAACCTTTTCTGGGGCATGGACTGATGAGCTGCTCTCTGAGCCCAGGAGGGCAGTCAGGAGCCGGAGAGGCAGCTATCCTCCTGACCCTGGGCTCATTTAAGCTACAGGCTGGGAAGAGACTCTTATCCTATGGCTCCTGTGTCCTTTCCTCTCCCCATTCGTCTCTGTCCCTTCAGCACTTACTTCTTATAGTTCTGAGGTGGTGACCACTTGGAGGCATTGGCAGGAGAAGATCCTCTACAGAGAAGAAATCTGGTGTCAGAAGTCACCCACCATCTGCCTATCAGTGCCCTCCACCCCAAACAGTTCCCGAGTCGACCTCTAGACACAGAGCACAAGGCTGAGAGGCCTGGCCAGCTGCCAGCTGCCAAGCTTGGCTGAACCATCACCCGTGTTGGCTTCTCACCTGGTCAGAACCTCATGGCACTGCTTGCAGACTTTCTGTTGAGTGTTTCCAGCTCGGGGAACTGCTGCACTGAAGCTAAGGCAGCCGGAACAGAAGGCCCGGCCACAGTTCTTACAGCCATACTACAAGAAACATGAAGCAAGGAGTCTACCTCTCACCCACCCCTGAAGGCTCCTCACGGGGACTCTTCGAACACACACACAGAGCAGACACTGAAGCTGTGACCAGCTGCTGGGAGGAGGATGGGGAATGGGGCCCCTAAGGCCTGGGGAGAGATGGGGGGTGGAGGGCAAAGCAATTCCTGTCTCTAATCTTCTATTCAAATCTCATAAAGCTTCATGCAAAATTTGCACGCTTTCTACTTGGTCTTCAATTCCCTGACACAGAAGTGTAAACAACAAATAGGCAAAGTCCCATGCTTCAGGTCAGACTCTTCAACAGAGGAGAAAGAGAATGCAGGGCCCATGCCTTCTCTGTTCTAGCACAGATGGAAGGAGGCTTGACTCAGGATGGGATGCTAGTAATAGCCTCCATTTATTAAGCATTTACTGTGTGAGTGAAAAGTGAAAGCCGCTCAGTCATGTTGGACACTTTGTGACCCCACTGACTGTACCCTGCCAGTCTCCTTAGTCCATGGAATTATCCAGGCAAGAATACTGGAGTAAGTAGCCTCTCCCTTCTCCAGGGGATCTTTCCAACCCAGGGATTGAATCCACGTCTCCCACATTGCAGGCAGATTCCTTACTGTCTGAGCCAGACACTAAACTCAGTATTTAACATTCATCACTTGATTTAATCCTCAATTTATACACACTATCATACTTAATCCTGATGACAACCACTATCATTCTTAAACAGGATCAGAGACGTTACTAGACTTGCTCAAATCAAGGTCACCCCTGTGAATGATAGCAGAGCCCCAATTTGAATTCTGACCACTTTGACTACAAAACCCAGGCTTCTGAGGGCTCCATGATCTGCTTCCCTACCGGCTATTCATCCCTCCTATCTGGTTGCTCTCTCCTGGTCACACTGAGGCAGAGGAAGCCTGCTGTTTATTATGGGAACTTGGCAGGTTTGTGCTGAGGGCAAGTGAGACTTTGCTATGTTGCCCTGGAGACGAGAAAGGGCAGGCTGCTTGATGGTGAGGGCTTCAGAGCAGAAAGAGTAAGGGGCATGGTGTGGTCGAGAGTAGTCACAGACTATTAACTAAGACTGGGCTGCGGAGGAGCAGGGTGGAGGGAAAGAAACAGCCAGATCCTACACTTGGCGGACAGAAAAGCTTAGCTTTCCGAAAATGACAAGAGCCCGATTTACAGTTTACAGGGAACTCACATCCAGCACCTCAACCCCGAAAGCAAGGGAGTGTTAGCCCCGTATTATAGAAATGTTAACTGAGGCTCTGTGGCTCCATCAAAACCACACGTCTGGAGAGGGGCCATAAAACCAAGTCTAGGACTGTAAGTCCCGTGTATTTCCCTCCACTTCGCGTCCTCCCTCTAGCCCGTGAAGAGAGACTCGCCTCCTTCTTGAAGAGGGTGAACTTGACAGCGCAGCCGTAGCACCTACTCTCCATCCCGTTTCCCGGTGCGGCGCGGCAGGATCCGCAGAGCAGAGCTCTTGCGGGTCAGGTACGGTCCCCTTGCACCTTCACCCAGCCCCGCCCCTGCCTACCACGCCCACTCGCACGGGCCAGCCAAGGCCTCCGACAGGAGACTCACGACAGTCACCCCAGCCGGAAGGCAGCAGCGGCGGGCGCGAGGGCTGCCGGAAGTCGTAGTTCGTTCACCATTCAGCGGGCTTGGAGCCGACAGTCCCCGGGAAGCCCCACACGCTTAGACTTCTGGGAGTTGTAGTACTAATTCAATCAGAGTTGGAACCATGGCGGTGACCAAGGAGCTCTTACAAATGGACCTGTACGCGCTATTAGGTATTGAAGAGAAGGCGGAGGACAAAGAGGTGAGAACGGGGGTGAGGAAAGTCGATCCTGAGCGACCTGGCGGCCCTTCCAGCCTTGGCGCCTCGCCTGAGGCTGGCACCACCATCTTTCCAGGTTCGGCCGGGCCCTGAGTGGGGAACAAGAGGCGGCCCAATGGCCTTAGAAGGGGGTGGGGGGATTCCCAGACCTTCCTCAGACCTCAATGGTCTGAGGGCCTCACGAGGAAGAGGGAGCACGAGCGAGAGGTTACTCCGCGGGGCACTGTACTGTGCTCTCCGGTGGCCCTTGTGTAGCAGAGGCCGCCGGGTGAGCCTGGGAGGCAACCCTACCCTACGTCTTGCGCCTGCGCAGTGTCAGCCTCTGATGCCCCTTCGGTCTAGACTGCGGCTAGAGGTGCTTCATTCTGTCTCTCTTGCTGGCTGATTTAACTACGTTAAGAGCCTAGGGCGGAAGAAAGACCAGGTCTCAAGGCTCCTCCATTTCTTTTTCATACCTTCCGTGGCAGTGTGACCTATGACTTTGCCGTCTCTGTTTTCTTTTACACCTCAGCCCACTGACTCTTTTCGAGAGGCAGATGCTCAGGTGTTGCCCTCTCAACGTGTGCTAGTGGCCAGAAGCAGGAGGATCAGAAGGGTAGGCAGATGACCTGGAGTTGGTGTGTCACAGGAAACTCCAGGTTGATAAATGTGCCAGGAAGTGGTACACTGATCAAGCTGTAACTCAGATTTCTGTTACTTTCCCCAGGATTATGGTGGTAGCTGTAGCAATGTAGGAAGTGGAGGCAGATAAGTCATAAAATGAAAATTAGTGGAGAGGGAGGTGGGAGGGGGGATCGGGATGGGGAATACATGTATATCCATGGCTGATTCATGTCAATGTGTGACAAGAACCACTACAATATTGTAGAGTAATTGGCCTCCAACTAATAAAAAATAATAAAAAAATAAAAAATTTTTAAAAAATTAAAAAAAAAAGAAAATTAGTCCCTACAGATGCTCCTGTACTTCCAGGCTGCTCTGCTCATTGTCTGAGTGAGCTTGTGGAAAGAAGCAGCTCTGGCACAGAAAAGCAGGGAGACCACAGGGCCCTTGAGGAGTGATACAGTCAGTACAGAACTGTTCCTGCAGCTGCAGCTGAATCAGAAGTGGGCTGTGGGGTTGTACACAGAGCACCAGAAACATCTGTTACACCTATCTCATAAGTCTTAAATTTTCACTATTGGTAATGCATAACACCGATATAAGGGCTTCCCAGGTGGCTCAGTGGTAAAGAATTCACCTGCTAATGCAGAAGATGCAGGAGATGCAGGTTGGATCTTTTGGTTGGGAATATCCCCTGGAGGAGGAAATGGTAAACCACTTCAGTATTCTTACCTGGAGAATCTCATGGACAGAGGAGCCTAGTGGACTACAGTCCATAACATCGAAAAGAGTCAGACACGACTCAGCACAGCACAGCATCACTTATATAATATTGTGTGCTGGACACTATTTTAAGTATTCTATATTTATAAATTGTTTAGTACTTCATTATTAGTGGACATTTCACACTGGATCTAGCCAATGTGTTGGAACCTTGACGCTGAGAACTCCTGAGGAAGGCAATTATGAGCCACTGATGTATATATTAATCAGAGGAGTGACATAATCGGATTTTAAAGAAAATATTCAAAGTCAGTTTGCAGAAAGGACATAGTAGGCGACGGGTAGAGCTGCCACCAGGGGATCCGGTGAGGCTGTTGTCTCGGCACGAGGCTGAGGTCTGAGCAGGGCAATGAGGCTGGGATTCAGTTTTCACTCGGGTGAAGTAAGAGGTAGGTGAGAAGACTCTGCACTGGCTGTACTCAATCTTAGTTGCAGCACATAGGATCTTCATTGCATCATGTGGGATCTTTCGTTGTGGCGCATGGACTCTAGTTGCAGCATGCAGGGTGCGGGCACATGGGTGGTTGTTACCGCATGTGGGCTTAGTTCTCCATGGCATGTAGGATCTTAGTTTCCTGACCAGGAATCAAACCTGTGCACCCTGCCGTGGAAGCACAGAGTCTTAACCACTGGACTGCCAGGAAAGTCCTTCCATCTGTGTTTTAGAAGAGGGTAGAAACTTTTCCCCCAGACACCATTTGATTCCACAAACTTATTAAGTGTCTACAGGTGAGGAGAGCAGTCCCTGGAGGGTTACCTCATCATGTCTGTTTCCAGCTTCTCTGTCTCTTGCTTTTGTAGTTCATCGTTTAGAAATGCAGAAATCAAAAGTTGATCATTCTAGAAGGTGATGCTTTCTAATCAGATGGTGGTTTCCTAGAGAGTGTAGCTTGTGTAGAAAATGACAGCATTTATAACTAATCTTAACAATTGAAGCCAAGAATCGTTGCTTGTTACATCCTGTATTGAGAATGGATGGAAATCATAATACAACATTGAGCAATGTTGGGATTGTAAATGTGCCTTTATAATCATCTTTGTACTAATCACCGCAGGCAGTTAAGAAAGAGGACTTTGGAGTCAGACTTATGCATATTGGTTCCTTTACTTACTTAGTTTGTGACCTTGAAGCAAACATTTAACTTCTCTGTGCGTTGGCTTCCCCATTTGCAAAATGGGAATGATGGCAGTCCCTCTTCACCAGCCTTGTTGTGTGGCTCGGTCCAGGCAAAGCGCTTAGAAGGCACTTAGCACAGACTCACTGCAAGTTCATTCATGCTGTTATCATTGTAGCTTCACCTTCCTACACTGTAAGTGCTAATGTCCAATGCAGTTTCCCACAGCTCATGTCTAAGATTGCCCTTCACTCCTCACCCCTTCTCATTCATTAAAGTCCCTGATTCACTTCACACTACACCAGTGATTCTCAACCAAGGCAGTGGTCAGAGTAGAAGGGAGGTGAGGCATCAGGTAGAAGAAGATTGAAGATCAGCAGAGTTCACTGTTCAGTTCAAATGTTTGGGCATGGTGGGACTTCAGAGCTGATGGCTCAGTGGTAAAGAATCTGCCTGCCAATGCAGGAGACAGGGGTTTGATCCCTAGTTCGGGAAGACCTCACATGCCGTGGAGCAACCAATCCCATGCGCCACAAGTACTGAGCCTGTGCTCTAGAGCCCAGGAGTCACAACCACTGAAGCCTGTGTGCCCTAGAGCCCATGTTGTGCAACAAGAGAAGCTACCACAATGAGAAGCCCGCATGCCACAACTAGAGAAAAGCCTGTGCAGCACTGAAGACCCAGAGCAGCCGAAAATAAATAATTTTTTTAAAAAAGCATATGAGAAATATAAGCTGTAAGCATATAAACTGTCAGAATAAAGAGGAAGGCATGATTCATGTGATTGGTAGGATCAACGAAGACTTCCCCTGAGGAGGTGTTCTTATGCAAGACCTTGAGGGGAGAAAGGACTATTTCACAGCAGGATTTAAAAAGATCATCATGGTCATTTACTCTCTTCATTTTATAGACAGGAGGATGGAGGTCCAGGGAGGTTATGGAACTCGCTGAGATCACCCAGTGAGTGAGTGTTGGGCCAGATTGGAGCCCCAATTTAGTGTTTCTTCCACTGCCCTGCACATATCAGTGGAAGCTGACATGTGAATTTCTGTCCTGTTTATAACAGCCGTTGCTTTTCATTTGAAGCCCTTTGCAGGGTACGTAACTCACTGTATCTTGGCAGGTATTACTTGGTAAAGCTAGGTGCTTGAAAATTCGTTTTGATCAAACCTTTGAAGACTCAAGTTTTAAATGTATTTACCAGGAAAACTACCATGGAAACTTATTATTGACCTTTTCAGGTTATATTTTATTATTGCTTTAAGGAAAAGGCTATTTTACCTGTTTGCTAGCTAATACTTTTATTTAAATCACTTGTTTCGGTTATACCTTAGAATGTGATGCACTGACATCCATTGTTTGTTACTGATTTAAGAAAAGTAAGACAGAGTAGGACTTGAAGGAGTGGTATAAAGTTAAAGTGCTTGGCATGACAAGGATTGGGGCATTGCCTAGGATTTGTTGAGGATGTGGCAGGAGATGAGTCTGAAAAATGTGGTATCTCTGGGCCTCTAGGCCCTTGGGTGGCTATACTTGGTTTTGTGGGCGTCTGGGAGCCATTTCTGGATTTGAGGTGTGCCGGACTCAGTCCACTGCCTCCAAATGGGTGCCTTTCCTAAAGCCTCTTGCCTCCAGACCAGGCACTGAGGCGCTCAGGTTGGGCACTGAGCCTGGTTTCACTTGACGACTGTCATTTGTTCATTCACTAAGGGCCTGAGCAACACTGGGTGGGACCAGGAGCCCGACCTCCAAGTCTTCTTGGTATTTCTCTGAGAGTTAACTCATTCCTGGGTTTGGCTGTCTGGCTGAAGCTCTGAAGTTTTGAAGTTACTTGGCTACCTGTTAAGTCTAAAGGAATGATTCATTTGTGTTTGTAAGCTATTCATTAGTGTTCAAGATAATACCTCACATTTATATGACACTAAAGTGCTTTCACATAAATTATCTCATTTGATGTGATCTTCAAAACAAGCCTGTGAGGTATGCAAGAACTATTAGCTCCAATTTATAGATGAGAAGACTGAGCCCTGCAGAGTTTAATTGATTTGGCCAGCATAAGGTGGCTAGTAAATGCAGAGCACCTGCCCAAACCTGCATTTGTATGCCTCTTTCAGAGCTGTTTTCCATGACCCACAACTTAGGAGCAATTAGGGCAACAAGAGATGGCCCCAGAAAGCCTCTCACTCCCATCCTTGACACAGAGATTTGACTCTGTGAGTAAAGCTGCCCAACCTGGGTTAACTTGAAGGATATTAAGCCAACCTGGACAACTTGAGGTAGTGTATTAAAATTTGTGTTAAAACTACCATAGTGGAGTTTTCATCTCAGTGAAGGTAGAATTCAAAATATTCTCTATTTGCATAACTGCTTTCCCTATTTTTGCTGCTCCTGAATACTTTTATTTGGTCATTGTTATTTTTTTTAAGTCAACTCTCTTCCTTTTACTAATGTAATTTTGTTTATGAAGGAAACCAATGCATT